TCCCTCTCCAGCCTCCGACAAACAGAGGCCAGGGAAACCACATGATCCCTCTCCATTTCCAGAGTCTAGGGACACCGTTCCTACCCGTCCTGACTATAAAGTACCGATGGACGTACCCTCCATGAATGTATCTGTTTCTTTTTTGAACCCCGTTAAAGTTCTGGTCTTCACAACATCCACTCGCAAGGATTTCCACAAATGGACCGTGTGCTGCGTGAAGAAAATCTTCCTTTTTTTTGGTTTTAAATCTGCTACCTATTAATTTTGTTTGACGATGCCTAGTCCTTATCCTATGGGAACAAGTAAATCACTTTTCCTTATTCACTTTTTCCACACCAGTCATGATTTTATAGACCTCTATCCTAACCCTCCTTAGTCTCCTCTTTTCTTAGCTGAAAAGTCGAAGTCTTTTTAATCTCTCTCGTCATGGAAACAGTCCAAACCTCAAACCATTTTTGATGCCCTTTTCTGAAGCTTTTCCAATGGGCTCTAGGCCCACTCGCGGAGTGCAGCTTCTCTTCTGGTACCTCCCTCTTGGGCTACGCCTACACAGCTTCCCTGTTCTGCAAAAGCCTATGCAAACGAAGCACGGATTCACATATTGGTGCGGATTAGCATATTTTGCACAAGAGCCGTCCTTCCTTATTTTTTCAGGAAGAACGGCTCTTGCGCAAGAGGGTTTTTTTGTGCAACAAGGCACTGTGTAGATGGCTCCTTTTTGTGCAAAAACCTCTTGCGCAAAAATAGTCTCTAATTAATTATGGAAATGAAGCGTGCCAATATGCTAATCCATGCTTCATTTGCATAGGCTTTTGCGGAAGAGGGAAGCTATGTAGACGTAGCTTTGGAGTCCAGGCCTGCATGTGAAGCACTAAGCCCCTGAGATGAGTTTTTGGCCTGGTTCCTGCACACTCTAATTGCTTCTGTACCCCCTTCCCAGAGCTCCCCTTGGGGTTCATGCTTCTTCCAATAGGTCAGGGCTCTTCCCCACTCTGCACTCCCAGTGCAAAAGGTGAGGGCCCACAAGAGGCCTTGAATACCTCGCCTCTATAGGCTCTGCTTACAAAATCTCCTCAGAGTCACAGATGCACTGACTCTAGAAGACAGGCTACCACCGGCAAATGATTTTTTTAAAAGAACCTTGAAAAAATCAGGAAGGCCCAGGGTACCCCAAGATCGTCTGCAGCTAGCGAGCTTCTTTCACACCAACAGGCATGAATCCAAAGATTAAGGCAAGACTTCACAACACACCGGCCACATCTAAGTCAGATTTCCCGGCATTAATAAAATGCAATAGTTACCTGATTACCACCCATTTGAAAGCACTTTCATGAGCAATGCCAGTCCAGGAATTGAACTACTAAAATGCATCTCAAGAGAAGACCGATATAGTGACGACTACTTTTTTTGTTTTGGCTCCCACCTGCAGGCTGCGTTTGGGTTTGAGCCCCATGTAAACCCAAACCGCACCATGGGGCGCAGTGGGGCTGTGGGCATGTTGAGTAGCCCTAATTTAAGGACTGGGTCTGGAGTGCTTTGACTGCCTTTAGTTTCCTACCTGAGGTTTGTGTTTGAGTTTAGGTCCTAATAAATCTCTTAATGCGCTTCAGGACTCCTCATTGTACGTGCAAACACACAGAACATATGTATTCAATGGGATTACAGGCTCTTGAAAGAGAGGTTCTTTGGCTTGTTTGCATAAAGCACAGCTGAGTTATGTATCTTCATGATTTAAAACCAATTTCCATAAAATATGGGGTGGAGAACTTCAGTCCAGGGAGCCAGATGTGACCTGAATCTGGGATTCCCTTCATAAGAACATAAGAACGGCCGTACTGGGTCAGACCAAAGGTCCATCTAGCCCAGTATCCTGTCTACCAACAGTGGCCAGCACCAGGTGCCCCAGAGAGGGTGGACCGAAGACAATGATCAAGCGATTTGTCTCCTGCCATCCCTCTCCAGCCTCTGACAAACAGAGGCCAAAGACACCGTTTTATCCCCTGGCTAATAGCCTTTTATGGACCTAACCTCCATGAAATTATCTAGCTTCTCTTTAAACTCTATTATAGTCCTAGCCTTCACAGCCTCCTCTGGCAAGGAGTTCCACAGGTTGACTACACGCTGTGTGAAGAAGAACTTTCTTTTATTAGTTTTAAACCTGCTTCCCATTAACATTCCCTTCAGCACTGGGACGCTCATGTTCGCACTCAAGAAACCTTCTGTTCCCCTGTAGGGTGGGAAATCTACTAGCCTGTGCCCCCCTCAGTTCTGGTGTGTGAGGGGAATGTGGGGTCTGTGTGTGTCTCCTTCCTAGCTGGGGGCCACATCACTTTGTGCGTAACCCCTGACTGATGTTTTTCATGTGGGTCAGCTGCCCCTAGAGCTCGAAACTGTTCCCCACTCCTAGGACAGAGACTTAACAGGGTCTCTCTACAGATTTAGTAACAAAGTAAGAAAATACTTTACAATTGTAAGCATAGCCCATGTCCCGTATATAACTTGCTACAAGATGACAGAATATGTTAGCGTTAGAGCTGACTGTGAGTATTATTCATTATTTTATTTTTTACATATATAGGACTTAGATATAGGGTTGTTGCCAGCTAATTCTTCAGTCAGCTGGAGAGACAGAGAGAGAGAGAGAGAGAGAGAGAGAGGGCTTTCAGGAGCCTAACGATCCCCTGTGATCCCAGGAGTAGTACCCCCCCCAACTACATCTGAAATGGCTACTTCATAGGTCCTGGTGGGGAAGAGGATGGTCCAATGCAACACAAGGGAAGGGTAGCAGAGAATAGGCGTAAGCGACAGAGCAGGGGCGGAGCTTTGGCAGAAAGTTGGAGCGATGGGTGTCCAGTTACCAGATGATAACCCAGTGAACTTGACACATGCCGATTCTCCAGTTGGTACGCTCATAGATCACAGTGCATATGTGAAAGAGTTTAATGTCTCCCTTATTCCCCAGCAAGAGATTCAGGGAGGAGTGCCCATTCTCAGGTTAGCAGCCAGCCTTGCACAATGCTCACTCTGGGTATGTCTACACTACAGCACTAATGAGAACTAACTTAATTCAAATTAGTTAATTCGAACTAAGCTAATTCGAATTAGCGCATCTAGACCTAAAAACTAGTTCGAATTAGCATTTTGCTAATTCGAACTAGCATGTCTGCATTGAGTGGACCCTGAACCGGGGTTAAGGATGGCCGGAAGCAGTGCCGGCAGGGCATCAGGCTAGGACTTAGAGCGTGAAGCTGCTGTCTCAGGCTAGCCGAGGGCTGTGCTAAAAGGGTCCTGACCCCCACCCTGGACAGACAGTTCTCAGGGGTTCCCCACTTGCAAAGCAGTCCTGGCTTGGAGTGCCCTGAGTGCCCACCCTCGGCACATCACAGCACTCAGCCACCAGCCCGGCTGCACTTGCCACAGGCTGCCATTGGGGGGGGCAAGCACGGGGCTGCAGGAGAGCTTCCACCCCGAGGAGCTGACAGAGCCACCCCAGTCCTTCCCGTCAGAGGCTCGTACCAGATTCCTCCCTCACCTCCTTCCACTTACCCCTCCCTAACCCCCCCTTCCAGATGTACAAAATAAAGGACACGCGTGTTCAAAAATAGAAACTCTCTTTATTGAACAAAACTGGGGGAGACTGGGAAAAGGAGGTGGGAGAGGGGAAGAGAGAGGGTGGGAGAGGGGAGGGCAACTAAAATGATCAGGGGTTTGGAAAGGGTCCCATATGAAGAGAGGCTAAAGAGACTGGGACTTTTCAGTTTAGAAAAGAGGCGACTGAGGGGGGATATGATAGAGGTCTATGAAAGCATGAGTGGGGTGGAGAGGGTGCATCAAGAAAAGTTCTTCATAAATTCCCATAATAGAAGGACTAGAGAACACCAAATGAAATGAATGGGTAGCAGGCTTCAAACTAATAACAGAAAGTTCTTCTTCACAAAGCAAATAGTCAACCTGTGGAACTCCCTGCTGCATGAGGCTGTGAAGGCTAGAACTATAACAGAGTTTAAAAAGAAGTTAGATCAATTCATGGAGGTTGGGTCCATGGAGTGCTATTAGCCAGGGGGTAGAAATGGTCCCTGGCCTCTGCTTGTGGGGGGTAGAAATGGTGTCCCTGGCCTCTGATGTGGAAGGCTGGAGATGGATGCCATGAGACAAATGGTTTGGTTGTTGTCTTTGGTCCATCCCCTCCAGGGTACCTAGTGTTGACTGTTGTCAGCAGACAGGCTACTGGGCTAGATGGACCTTTGGGCTGACTCAGTACGGCCATTCTTATGTTTTTATGTTCTAAGATCAGGGCTCAGGGTCAAGGTCTCACTCGACCACCTTGATTTTCATGCAAACCTGCACCTGGGTGGCCAGGCTGGCAGCTCTCCTGCCCTAGATGGCCACTTTCCTGTGCCTAGTGTGGAGGTCGTGGACATTGGAGGCCTCCCCCCAAACCTGGATGAGGTCCACGATGTCCGCACTAAACCAGGTGGGCGCTTGCCTCTTGCAACCCCAGGCAGGCTCCCGGGAGTCACCAGCCTGGTCCCGGGAAGAGGCGGAGGGCTGGGTGGCAGCAGGTGGCTGGCTCATGCTGTGCCATGTGCAGGGTCTGCTAGCTGGGTGCTGGCAGGCTTGCACCTGGCACGGGCACCGTAGCCAGACCGTGCCCCTTTAAGGGCTCCGGGGCCGTGAGGGGGGTAGACGAGTTTCCCTGGTGGTGCCCGGAGTGGCCACCAGGGCAAGCAGGAGAGGGTTAGCCTCCCACTAGTTCGAATTAAGTGGCTACACAGCCCTTAATTCGAACTAGCTAATTCGAACTAGGCGTTAGTCCTTGTGGAATGAGGTTTACCTAGTTCGAATTAAGCGCTCCTCTAGTTCTAATTAAGTTCGAACTAGCGGTTTGTATGTGTAGCGCCTATCAAAGTTAATTCGAACTAACGCCTGTTAGTTCGAATTAACTTTGTAGTGTAGACATACCCTATGAGAGCAAGGCCACCAGGGGCAAACAGTTAGGTCTATTTATGTGAAATGAGCTTCAGCAGCCTGTCCCGTATCTGTTTGGTCCTCACCCCATAAATGATGGGGTTTAGCGTGGGAGGAACCAGGAGATTTATGTTGGCACTTAGAACATGGACATGCAGGGGCACATTGTGGCCAAACCGGTGTGTAAAAATGGAGAATAGACCTGGGATCTGAAACACCAACATGGCACAGACGTGGGAATTGCAGGTCCCAATGGTTTTGAGCCGGGAGTCTTTTGTGGGGAGCCTGAAGATGGCCCTAAGGATCTGTGTATATGACATCACAATAAAAAACACATCCAGACCAGTAATCAAGAACACCACAAAGAGGCCGTAGTAATTACTGACACGGATGTCATCACAAGCCAGCTTCACCACGGCCATATGTTCGCAGTAGGTATGGGGGATGAGATTTGTTCTGTAATAGGGGCAACGTCTCACCAGGAAGGGATAGGGCAGTACGAGAATACCACTGCGCAGCATCACGGCCAGGCCTATTTTGGCAACCACGGGGCTTGTCAGGATGGTGGAATGTCTCAGGGGGTGGCAGATGGCCACGTAGCGATCTAAAGCCATGGCCCCGAAGATCCCAGACTCCATTGCTGAGAAGCACTGAATGAAGAACATCTGGGTGAGGCAGGCATTGAAATTGATCTCCCTAGAATTGAACCAGAAGATGCTCAGCATTTTGGGTACAGTGGATGTGCCCAGGACCAGGTCGGTGACAGCCAGCATGCAGAGGAAATAGTACATGGGCTCATGGAGGCTCGGCTCCATTTTCACAATGAACAGGAGGATGAAATTTCCCAAAAGGGCTGTGGCATACATGGCACAGAAAGGGATGGCGATCCTGACTTGAGCCATCTCCAGGCCAGGAATACCCTGCAGGATGAAGGTGGAGGGGTTGGTGAAGTAGGTTGTGTTGGAATCTGACATAGTGTAGGGGTAAGGTGTCCTTCAGGAAGAACTGTCTTTTACATGCACCGTGTGTTCCCCTGACGTCTTGAAGGTGCCCACGTTCCTGGGTGATGGATGTGGTACAAATACCTGGAAATTGAGAAAATGGTAATATGAGATATTGGTACGTGACATGACATGCACGAATGGGAGCTGTTCTCAAGGTTGAAGAGAACTGGTTGCTCTTCACAGAGAAACATTAATATTTCATCATTCACAGAAATGTAATATGAGCAGCTGACCCACTAATGCAAGTCCTGTATCTGATGGTGTCCAGGGAATCAATAATTTTCACAACTTGTTATGTGAGAAAGCTTAATAGGTAGCCCCAGGAAACAAGGGGGGGGGAATGCTAATCGTTCTTCATTCATCCTTAATGCAATCAAATCCTAGCTAGAGATTCCACAGGTTCACCTGGTAACATCAAATCTGGGAAAGGGAAAACAAAAAACAAAAACAAATCTTTGCCAAGATATGTACCAGGTGGAAGATCCCTTCGGGTACATCTACACTTGCTTCCTCGTTCAAACTACGGATGCAAATGTAGCCAACTGAAATTGCTAATGAAGCGGGAATTTAAATATCCCGTGCTACATTCTCATAATCTCACCAACGCACGATTCCGCACCCCAGCTGATTCGAACCAGGACGTGCTCTCCGGAACGCGTTAGTTCGAAGCAAACCTCTTGACAATCGAAAAGTAAGGATGTCTATGAAAGAGAGGAAAATAAACAATGGGAATGATTGCATTTAAATGGACACACATTGAAGAGTTCCCAACCAGTGATATTTTAGTGATAGAAATGTAGCCGGTCTGGTGTAGCTGAAAGAAAATACAGGACTATGTAGCACTTTAAAGACTAACAAGATGGTTTATTAGATGATGAGCTTTCGTGGCCCAGAAGTGGAAGTGGGTCTGGCCCACGAAAGCTCATCATCTAATAAACCATCTTGTTAGTCTTTAAAGTGCTACATAGTCCCGTATTTTGTTTCAGTGATATTTTAGATACTCAGGGCTCTACAAGCCAGTTCCCCTAAGCTCAGGCAAAATTTGTCAGAACTGATGGGCAGGAAAAATTCAGACAGAAAATTGAGAATGAAACTTGGTAGTTCTGAAGAGTTGACCAGATAAAAGTTAAGCCATGTACAGGCAGTCCCCGAGTTACGTACAAGATAGGGACTGTAGGTTTGTTCTTAAGTTGAATCTGTATGTAAATCAGAACTGGCGTCCAGATTCAGCCGCTGCTGAAACTGACTGCCAGTTCTGACTTACATACAGAATCAACTTAAGACCCCCAAGCGCCCCCAAGTCAGCTGCTGCTGAAACTGACCAGCAGCAGCTGAATCAGGACGCCTGGGGCAGAGCAGCTGGGGTGCTGCCGGGTTGGTCCAGTAGCACCCAGAGCGGCGCTGCGGGACCAACCGGCAGCCCCCCAGCTGCTCTGTCCCAGGTGTCCCCAAGTCAGCTGCTGCTGAAACTGACCAGCAGCAGCTGAATCAGGACGCCTGGGGCAGAGCAGCTGGGGTGCTGCCGGGTTGGTCCAGTAGCACCCAGAGCGGCGCTGCGGGACCAACCGGCAGCCCCCCAGCTGCTCTGTCCCAGGTGTCCCCAAGTCAGCTGCTGCTGAAACTGACCAGCAGCAGCTGAATCAGGACGCCTGGGGCAGAGCAGCTGGGGTGCTGCCGGGTTGGTCCAGTAGCACCCAGAGCGGCGCTGCGGGACCAACCGGCAGCCCCCCAGCTGCTCTGTCCCAGGTGTCCCCAAGTCAGCTGCTGCTGAAACTGACCAGCAGCAGCTGAATCAGGACGCCTGGGGCAGAGCAGCTGGGGTGCTGCCGGGTTGGTCCAGTAGCACCCAGAGCGGCGCTGCGGGACCAACCGGCAGCCCCCCAGCTGCTCTGTCCCAGGTGTCCCCAAGTCAGCTGCTGCTGAAACTGACCAGCAGCAGCTGAATCAGGACGCCTGGGGCAGAGCAGCTGGGGTGCTGCTGGGTTGCTCCAGTAGCGCCGCTCCTCAGGCGCTACTGGACCAACCCAGCAGCACCGCATCTGCTCTGCCCTAGGCGTCCTGATTCAGCTGCTGCTGGTCAGTTTCAGCAGCAGCTGACTTGGGGGCGCTTGGGGGTCTTAAGTTGATTCTGTATGTAAGTCAGAACTGGCAGTCAGTTTCAGCAGCGGCTGAATCTGGACGCCAGTTCTGATTTACATACAGATTCAACTTAAGAACAAACCTACAGTCCCTATCTTGTACGTAACCCGGGGACTGCCTGTACAATAATAAAAGAGCCTAAAACAGCCACAGACCTGGTACGAGGCCCAAGGCCTAGTCAAGAGTAGAGAAGACTTTGTTAATATTCAGCAAACTGAAGCTGAGAGGAAAAGGTAGACTCTGTTCACAGGACTTGGTAAAAACAGGGTTGATATTAGTCACTGGCCGTAAACCCGTTCCAGAGGGATGCTACCAAAACACCTCAGTAGAAGATAGCTTGGTGCTAATACACTTCCCAGAGATAACAGGAACCTACCAACACAGGCTCAGGACAGTATCCAGCATGGCAGCAGGATAGATAGTGATGTATTCACAGAGCCACCCTGTGCAAAGTCATGATATCTAGGCATGTTAGAGGGTGGTTTCCTAGAATGTGCAGAGCGATATGTAATTTGTTTGTACCTGTGTAGAAAAATGTACCCTAAGGGGATTGTGCTTGTCCAACCTAGGTGAGAGTGAAGAATCCGGTCACTGACCGAGCTGAGTTCATTGTCAAAGGTTCACATTTTTTAGCGTCCTCCTTGGACTCATCTAAACTAAAGGGGGCTCGTCTACATTGGCCCCTTTTCCGGAAGGGGCATGTTAATTTCACGAGTCGTAACAGGGAAATCCGCGGGGGATTTAAATATCCCCCGCGGCATTTAAATAAAAATGTCCGCCGCTTTTTTCCGGCTTTTAGAAAAGCCGGAAAAGAGCGTCTACACTGGCCCCGATCCTCCGGAAAAAAAGCCCTTTTCCGGAGGATCTTATACTTTGAAGTAGGAATAAGATCCTCCGGAAAAGGGCTTTTTTTCCGGAGGATTGGGGCCAGTGTAGATGCTCTTTTCCGGCTTTTCTAAAAGCCGGAAAAAAGCGGCGGACATTTTTATTTAAATGCCGCGGGGGATATTTAAATCCCCCGCGGATTTCCCTATTATGACTCGTGAAATTAACATGCCCCTTCCGGAAAAGGGGCCAATGTAGACATAGCCAAGGGGAACATCGACTTAAGATACACAAATACAGCTATGTGAATTATACAGCTCGAGTCGACGCATCTTAAATCCCCATCCATACAGCGGAAAGTTGAGAGTAACAAACACTCCCATCAGTTTCCCTTTCTCTTCGTGAGGAGCAGGAGTACCAGCACCGACGGGGGGGGCCATCTCTGTTCAAATTAGTGGGATTTCACTAGACCCATGAAAGCAAACCCCAGAAGACTGACCAATATCGATATTCTGCACAGTGTGGACACGGTCTTAGTATCTACCAGGCGGTGTTACTGTGCTGCTTTACAAAAACCTGGGGGGCACCTTCGATCTGCACCTGATTTTGTGGTCTTTGGGGGCGCTCTCAGAGACTGCTGTACCGGTTACCCAAGCAGAGCCAGTTCAACACACAGGGGGAGCACAAACATGCAGCCGTATTGTAATAGAAATGTATATTCCTGCGCATCCAGAAATATAATTTATGCTATCATGTGTCGAAAGTGTCCGTCTGCTATGTACATTGGGCGAACGTCTCAGACACTTCGCCGAAGGATCAATGCCCACAAAACAGATATCAGACAGGATCACAAAGAAAAAACAGTTTCTTGCCATTTCAACCAGAAAGGACACTGTCTCAACGACTTAACTACCTGCATCCTACTACAAAGACCTTTTAAATCTGCACTTGAAAGGGAATCCTCTGAACTGTCATTCATGCTAAAATTCGACACTCTCCAGGGGGGTTGAACAAAGACATCAAACTACCTTACCCATTACAAAGATAGCTTCCCCAATTATCACCTCTAATACCATTAGCTCACAGACATCTACCTCTCCCCACCTCTAATATCATTAACTCACAGACATTTACCTTCCTTCCCCCCCCCCCCTGCATTCCCCTTCTGTTCTGAAATGTGATTTGTCCTTTTCATATGTGTTCTTTTTTTTTAATTGTATCCTTTGATATATATGGTTGTGACTATTTTCTTCCACTATTTGATCTGAGGAAGTGGGTCTGGCCCACGAAAGCTCATCATCTAATAAACCATCTTGTTAGTCTTTAAAGTGCTACATAGTCCTGCATTTTGCATGCAGCCGTATTGTAACTCTCATTGCATAGAGCTAAACACCTATCAGGCAAGCCCACCAATAACCTCTGACCACACCATGATACCACAGGTAAGGAATAGGGATACTCTGGCTAAAAACCCAGTCCAGTGGCAAAATGAAGGAAACAACTGAACCAAGACATAACGTGTTTGAAACAGGAAGGAGAGGAAATATAGACAGCCAACAGTATGCATTGTAATTGATGAAAATTGATAAAGGATGTTAAAGACATCAGGGAAAGTCCATGCTTGGACAAGCTAAGAATCACAAAAGTGAGGTTAATTAGTATTCAAGAAAAAAAATCCATAAAAACTTCAGGCCAAGCCCTAGCGGAAGTAGCGGCTCCTGTTCATACTGCAGACATGGGTGATGTACTTAATTCATTGTTAGTCGCTTGGAAAGAAGCATTGTCATGTACTCGGATCACATGACGTGACAAAATACTTTCTGGTGTAGTGGAGGGTGATAAATGGCATCTACAGTAGAAGGTTAGAGTCCCGAACTGACTGATGAACCCCACCAGAATGGAGAACTCACCGATCAAGGCAATCTGGCAGCAGGAGAGCAAAAACAGATCCAGAAAAAAGGCAAACACGAGGCAGCACTACTATGGCCACAGAGCCATAGAATGACAGAA